TGCATCCCAGTAATTCCAGGAAGGGTGTTGTTCTGTGGTTTTGTGAGAAGGGATCCACGGCAAGAAGTGAGGGGTGTTTCTGAACACAAGACTGAACACAAGTGAACACAAGACTGAGATCTGACAACCATTCAAACAGGATCTTTTGGGTTCCTCTCATCCCAGCCCCACTCTCCCGTTTACATGAGCCACCACCGCAGTCTAGTCAAATCAAACAGCTGTGCCACCGATAAGGATTTAAAGTGTCAGCGTGTTTGCTGGCTGTGCTTCCCCATAGCTCTTTTGAAGATGCCAACCACTGCCATATACCCATCAATGAGAAAGGCCCTGACAGCTGTCACAACCATCCAGTGGAACTTGGCATCAAGAACCTAATTAAGAGATAATCAATCCATCCAGCAATCCCACTCCTGGGAATATATCCAGATAAAACTATAATTCAAAAAGATAAATGCACCCCTATGCTCACAGCAGTACTATTCACAATAGCAAAAGCATGGAAGCAACCTAAATGTCCATTGACAGATGAATGGATAAAGAAGATGTGGTGTGTGTGTGTGTGTACACACAATAGAATACATTAATACTTGGCCATAAATAGGAATAAAATAATGTCATTTGCAGCAACATGAATGCAACTAGAGATTATCATACTAAATGAACTAAATAAATCAGGTAGAGAAAGACAAATACCATATGATATCCTTCAGATGTGGAATCTAATACATTACACAAATGAATTTATTCAAGAAACAAAAACAAACTCATAGCCACAGAGAACAGACTTGTGGCTGCCAGGGGGGAAGGGGTTAGGGGAGGGATGGATTGGGAGGTTGGGATTAGCAGGATGTAAACTATAACATATAGAATGGATAAACAACAGGGTCCTACAGGGAACTAAATGCAATATCCTGTGATAAATCATAACATAAAATAATATAAAAAAAGAATGTATATATATATATAACTGAATTACTTTGCTGTATGGCAGAAATTAACACAATATTGTAAATCAATTACACTTCAATTTTTAAAAATTCCAGAAAAAAAGAGATAATCAATGAAGAGAAACTCTAATTTCTATCTGTCCAGCCTTTATATAAAAAAACAAAACAAAACATGTGGGCTTAACAGTGGTCAAGTCTCTCTCAAAACTATAGAATCCTGTGGAAAAACAGTGATATTCTTCTACTTGTTCCTTTCCTAGGAGTAAGGAACAAAAATTACTCTCCTCTGCCTTTCAGTCATAAGCAAATCAAATGGCCTGAGACATTCTGGTAGCAAACCAGGAAGAGGACCACTGCCAGACTTCTAGGTGATGAAGTCATCACCAGACACCATGCTGTGACTCCCATGCCTTCCATGTGGGGACAGATCGAGAAGAGAAAAGGAACAGACTTTTACTGGTCTCACAATGACCAGGTGCTAAAATATGGGCCTCTGATAGGCCACCAAGACCCTGCTGAGAGGCAAGGATCATCCAGACATTAATCATTCTTATATGCCTGATAGTTTGGGAAGACTGACCTTCCCTGATGGCTCAGATGGTAAAGAATCTGCCTATAATGCAGGAGACCTGGGTTCAATCCCTGGGTCAGGAAGATCCCCTGGAGGAGGAGAAGATCATTGGGGAATACCCCACCAAGCTTCAGCAGCACCTATGAAATTGCTGTTTATACCAACTCTCTCCTCTGGGTAGTGTTTTCTGAAGAGAGGAGCAGGAGTGTGGAGTCAGCCCTGGTATCAACCAGCCTCCAGAAACAACCCCACACACCTCCTCCTACCCCATGTTTTCTGACCTTAAACAAAAAAGTGGGGTTCTAGAGCTGGGATCACATATAGAGTAAACAATCTGGTTTGTGTCCTTGACATTCATTTCCCCTTCTGCCAACAGGTCCCAGTTTTTGTCTGGGGACTCACCTCTCCTTCACTCTTAGTCAATTAAAGCACTGCATTCTCTGGCTATAGCAAGCATAATATCCCACAGTACCCATGAGATGAAATGGGACTCTTGCTGGGATTCTGGAAAAGGGGACTTTCCCCCTGAGATTTGAGGGCAAGAAGATGGGAGGTCCAGAGCTGCGAGGCCAATATGTCCCTGAAGTGAGAACCTCTGAGTATGGAGAACCTCTGATGAAGCTGGGTAGAATCAGGGTGCACACAGAGAGAAAGAGGGTGTAATGACATTAGTGCAACAAGATGCCCCTGAAGCCAGGCATGGTCACATCAGTAATAAATCCCCTTTTTGCTTAAGCTATTTGGGGTACAGCTGTCCTTGTATCTTGCAAAAGATGCATCCTGGTTCACAAGACATGAGGTGGCAGAAAGCCTGAGTCAACATGAGGACAGCCAAGTGACCCTTTTGTTCTGTTTGTTCCATTTTTTTCCATGCATTGTGCTCACTATTCACACACCTGGGGAAGGTATGACATTCTCACCTGGGGATGGGCTTCTTCCACTCTGGTTAAACCCGCTCTAGAAGACATTTATTTTCCTGAACAAGATATCCTGGTGGGAAGTCAAAAGCGTTGTTTACTGTCACTTTAATTTTATTCTTATTAGAGTAATTATGACGCATCTCTCAATGTTCAGCCATCATTCCGTTGGTCCAGCCCCGGCAGGAGGTTTGCACTCCCCAGTTGTAGAGCATTTTGCTGTGAGTCACCCACATTCTCCCACAGGCCCATGGTGACAATGACACACTCTGCACAACACTTATCCAAATCCTCCCCAGTCCTCCTGTGTGGTTTAATTAAATCGGCCACTCTACAGGAGCCAATGTTTAGAAGACAGGATATTGAGAATTATAAACAAAAAAAAGGGGAAATACAGAAAGTAGCACTCTATTCTCTTGCTCCAGGCCCCAAGGCAGGATATTGTTCCAAACTGGTGTTGTTCGATTAGGATAAATGAGGCATGAAGTTGTTAATGATGCCTCTCAAGTTACACTTGGCTATTGACAGACTCTATTCTTTTTTTTTTCCCTCGATTGCCTGCCTTTTTATGGGTAAAGTTATAAACATCAAGTTGGGTTTTGAAGATCATCCGATCAAACAAGATGTGTCCCTAAGCATTCACCTGACCAGGGCTCACAGGAACTCCCATCCCATCCTATTGGCTGAGACATGGCCGGCTTCTAAAAGGCCCCCCTCTCTCCTGACCTTTCATTGGCTGGTTTCTTCTTAAGATCCAGTCAGAGGAACTGAGAACTAACAGTGATTGGCCACACTGGTTTGTTGTGCCAAGGTTCTTTTACCTCCAGGAAAAGGATTTTTGGAGGAGTAGGGTCTCAGTAAATAGGATAAATTAACTGCTAAGCGAGTTGCCATTAATGTCAAATCAGATCATACTTCCTATTGACATCAAACACAATCAAGGTGGCTTTTTCTTCACCTTTCTCCAACAGCAAAAGTCTAACCACAATATTCTGCAGGAAATTTCAGATCTCACATATCTAAACCCTCCCAAACTGATACATGTATTCCATTCTCCTGCCCTTCTCAAGGGAAGATCATCACAAGAGCTTAATGAGATCTCACAGACACTGCAGGATGGATGGTGAGGATGCCCAATGGGATGAAGGAAAGAGACACCAGGTTCTTCCTCACCTGGTCCCAGTGTGTCCCACCAGCTTCAACTCCAGAAGGACGTGCTCTAATGGGTCCAGCTCCCCTCTTCACCAGGAGGAAATGGAACCTCTGATGACTTGCAGCTGAACCTGTGTTACCGTCCAGGACAGCACATCAAAAGAATGAATCCAAAAAAACAATACAAAGGAAAATAAAGAAATACTAACAAAAAAATCTAAGAACTTAAAGCCAGTGAGCATCAATATACAGAAAATTAAAACAAACTCCTTTCCAAACTCGGACAGATTCTATCAGCAAAACAAGAAGTAAAGTGAAAAGTGTTAGTCACTCAGTTGTGTCTGACTCTTTGTGGCTCCATGAACATGTAACCCACCAGGCTCCTCTATCCATGGAATTCTCCAGGCAAGAATACTGGAGTGGGTTGCTATACCCTTCTCCAGGGGATCTTCCCAACCCAGGGATCAAACCCAGGTTTCTTGCATTGCAGGTAAATTCTTTACCATCCGAGCACCAGGGAAGCCCAAGTGAAATATATCTTCTCATTAAAAAACAAAAATTAAGGGGGTTAGAACTAAGATAGTCTGTCCTGGGTGTTCATTGGAAGGACTGATGTTGAAGCTGAAACTCCAATACTCTGGCCACCTGATGTGAAGAATTGACTCATTAGAAAAGACCCTGATGCTGGGAAAGATTGAGGGCAGAAGGAAAACGGGACAACAGAGGATGAGATGGTTGGATGGCATCACCGACTCAATGGACGTGGGTTTGGGTGGAGTTGGTGATGGACAGGAAGGCCTGGCATGCTGCAGTTCATGGGGTTGCAAAGAGTCGGACACGACTGAGCAACTGAACTGAACTGAGTCTCTTTAAACTCTGTAATCAATTCAAGGACTCTGGCTCTATTTCTTGGTGATGTCTCTCAAAGTGTGTGTATAACACATACAACACTGGCTGTACAAGCAAACAGGCTAAGGTGGAAATTGAGAACTCTGAGATCAGTCTGAGACAAAGGAATCTTATGTCATTTTTTTCTTTTTTGGAAAATAATAATTAAATTAACAAAACACAGCAAAAGTATGAAAACCTATCAGAAGTATGAAAATCATAACATTATTAACAATCACAAATATTCTGGATTTCACACTCATGAAATTTACCATGCTCTTCATCATTTTAGGTGCTTCCCTGGTGGCTTAGATGGTAAAGAATCTGCCTGCAATGTAGGAGATCTGGGTTCTATCCCTGGGTCAGGAAGATTCCTTGGAGAAGGAAATGGCAACCCACTCCCGTATTCTTGCCTGGAGAATTCCATGGACAGAGGAACCTGGTGAGCTACAGTCCACGGGGTCCCAAAGAGTTGGACATGACTGAGCAACTAACACTTTCACTTCTGTCATCGTATTATAAGATTTATGTAATAGCTATCCAAAAGACGTGTACTACCACCCCCATTTTTGCTGAGAGGAAAACTGGGGATAAGAGGTTGCATGGCCAGTTCAAACCCATGTCTTTCTTACTCCAAAATTCATGGTCAGTTAGACAATTCTGCCTCTTTTCAAAACATTCTAATCTGCTTGAGAAAAATGCAGCCCTGTCACTGACAGTCTCCTGAAGAAGGAAGAAGTCTTCTCCTTCTTGGGACTCTTCAGGAAGGACCTCACCAACCATCACCAAGACCACACTGCCCATGTGCAGCTGTGGGAGGAATCCTGGTCTTATCACCACCTTGAATACGTATATGCCCATAAGCCTAATCCTCTGCATATGGTCCCTGCACTCCTCCATGAGTTCCCAACCAGCTGGCCTTTTCCATGGCATCTGCCCCTTTCCCAAAGCATCTTTGTTACTCTCTAATTCAGGAGAATCCACCTATTGTGGCTTGGTCTTCCTTATGTTGGATTTCCTACCCTGATACTCTCAAACTAACCCAAACTAGCTGCCTCTACCTCCATCAAATCTTCAATCCATCAGCAATATCTACCAAACTCTGACCTTCCCAAGGTATACCCTGGCTCAACCTGGGAGCTTGGATAAAGTCATAACTCAACCAGTTTTCTTCTTCCCTCCCTCCAACAGTTAAGCATATTTTAGAATGTTTTAATAAAACAAATGAGAAATTACAGCCTTCTGATGACAGTTTAATTTTTAGAGAACTGTTTAATTTTATGAGAACATTCAGATGAAAATAAAATAAAAATATTTTTAAAAAAAAAAGAAAATAAAATAAAAATATTTTAAATGAAAAAATAAAAAAACAGTAAAGATGAGTAATAAAATAATAGATATCATCCTACCATCACAAAACAAAGTATAACAAATAAAAAATAAAATAAGATCACACCAAAAGCAGTAATTAATTCCTTAAGAGGAAGAGAAGGATACATTTCAGATAGAAGTGACGGTAAGTAATAAGCTCTTAGATCATTTGATAATCCAATTAATGAGAAGTGAATCATAAGAATAGAGGAAGTATGTAAATTTCTTGCTGATTTGACAGAAAATACTGCTGTGGATGAAGATAACATAAAATTCATAACATACTAGGAAAATGAGGACATCAGTGTCATCAATTCAAAGAGCATTTAAGATAGAAAATCAGACTAAAACCTCAAATATCCTGAAATCTTACAGCTCTTCTATGAAAGAAACATGGTAGTGGTTTGCTTAGGTTTGACAATTCTAAACATTTTCTTGGCAATACTGCTCATGAAGCTGGAAAAACTTTTCTAAGCTCTCCACAATAAACATAAATATTTCATTAACTATACTAGGTAAATAACTGGATAATCTATTTTTTCCTACAGAAAATATCACAAAACTACTGTCAGATAAAACCACAATCAAAAAGTACGTTGCTAAAATAACTTTTAAAACAATGTTATAAAACTGTCTTTGGTACTTAGTTGACAAAAATATTATCACAATTTCTGTTCTCATTATAAATATTCACTTATCACATCTAACTTTGCATTCTTTCAAAGAGGGCTTCAAAAATTGTCAGAGTTTCAGCTCTATAAACCCTGGATTCATCCTCACAATGAGATCTTAGATTTGCTCCTTCCTCCCTCTTCATTGGAAAAGGCTCTTGAGAGTCCCTTGGACAGCAAAGAGATCAAACCAGTCAATCCTAAAGGAAATTAACCCTGAATATTCATTGGAGGGACTGATGCTGATGCTGAGCTGAAGCTCCAATACTTTGGCCACCTTCTGGGAACAGCCAACCCTGGAAAAAGACCCTGATGCTGGGAAAGACTGAGAGCAGAAGAAGGAGAGGGCAACATGAGATGGTTGGATGGCATCATAAACCCATGAGTCATGAGTTTGAGCAAGCTCTGGGAGATGGTGAGGGACAGGGAGGCCTGGCATACTACAGTCCATGGGGTCACAGAGAGTTGGACACAACTGAATGATGGAATGACAACCCTCCACAGTATAACTCAGGGCTGACCTTCTACCAAACAGACAGTGGCTATGACAGAACCAAATCAGGACGAACCAAAATGCTACCAGCTGAGTTCGCCTTAAAAGTCAGACAAATTCAACAACAAAGTAAATGGTAACAGAATCATACTTATCAATAATTACCTTAAATGCAAATAGGTTAAATGCTCCAACCAAAAGACAAAGACTTGCAAAATGGTTACAAAAACAACACCCTTATATATGCTTTCTACGAGTCCCACCTCAAACCCAGGGACATATACAGACTGAAAGTGACGCTGGAAAAAGATATCTCATGCAAATGGAGACCAAAAGAAAGCAGGAGTAGCAATACTCATATCAGATAAAATAGACTTTGAAATAAAGACAGTGATAAGAAACAAAGAAGGACACTACATAATGATCAAAGGATCAATCGAAGAAGAAGATATAACAATTGCAAGTATATATGCACCCAACATAGGAGCATCTCAACATGTAAGACAAATACTGACAAGTATGAAAGGGGAAATTAACAGTAACACAATAACAGTGGAGGACTTTAATGCCCCACTCACACCTATGGATAGATCAACCAAACAGAAAATTAGCAAGGAAACACAAGCTTTAAGTGATACAATGGACCAGTTAGACCTAATTTATATCTATGGGGCATTTCACCCAAAAACATTGGATTTCACCTTTTTATGAAGTGCACATAGAACATTTTCCAGGATAGATCACATCCTGAGCCATAAATCTAGTGTTGGTAAATTTTAAAAAATTTAAATCATTTCAAGCATTTTTTCTGATCAAAATGCATTAAGATTAGATGTCAACTACAGGGGAAAAAAGCCATCAAAAATATCAACATATGGAGGCTAAACAACACACTTCTGAATAAACAACAGATCACAGAAGAAATCAAAAAGGAAATCAAAATATGCATAGAAACAAATGAAAACATGACAACCCAAAACCTATGGGATTCAGTAAAAGCAGTGCTAAGAGGGAGGTTCATAGCAATACAAGCCTACCTCAAGAAACAAGTTCAGTTCAGCTCAGTCACTCAGTCGTGTCCAACTCTTTGCAACCCCATGAATCGCAGAATGCCAGGCCTCCCTGTCCATCACCAACTCCCAGAGTCCACCCAAACTAATGTCCATCGAGTCAGTGATGCCATCCAACCATCTCATCTTCTGTCATCCCCTTCTCCTCCTGCCTTCAATCTTTCCCAGTATCAGGGTCTTTCCCAATGAGTCAACTCTTCACATGAGGTGGCCAAAATATTGGAGTTTCAGCTTCAGCAGCAGTCCCTCCAATGAACACCCAGGACTGATCTCCTTTAGGATGGACTGGTTGGATCTCCTTGCAGTCTAAGGGACTCTCAAGAGTCTTCTCCAACACCACACTTCAAAAGCATCAATTCTTCGGCACTCAGATTTCTTCACAGTCCAACTCTCACATCCATACATGACCCCTGGAAAAACCATAGCCTTGACTAGACAGACCCTTGTTGGCAAAGTAATGTCTCTGCTTTTTAATATGCTATCTAGGTTGGTCATAACTTTCCTTCCAAGGAGTAAGCGTCTTTTAATTTCATGGCTGCAATCACCATCTGCAGTGATTTTGGAACCCAAAGAAATAAAGTCTGACACTGTTTCCACTGTTTCCCATCTATATGCCATGAAGTGATGGGACCAGATGCCATGGTCTTAGTTTTCTGAATGTTGAGCTTTAAGCCAACTTTTTGACTCTCCTCTTTCACTTTCATCAAGAGGCTTTAACATCAAATAAACAACCTAACTTTACACCTAAGCAACTAGAAAAAAGAAAAAAAGAATCCAAAAATTAGTAGAAGGAAAAAAAATTGTAAAAATTAAAGCAGAAACAAATGGGGACAAAAATGAAGAAGACTATGGCAAAAATTAACAAAACTAAAAGTTGGTTCTTTGAGAAGATAAATAAAATAGACAAACCATTAGCCAGACTTGTCAAGAAAAAAAAGGAGAAGAGTCAAATAAATAAAATTAGAAATGAAAATGGAGAAATCACAACAGACAACCCAAAAATACAAAAGATCATAAGAGACTACTATGAGCAATTATATGCCAATAAAGTGGACAACTTGGAAGAAATGTACAAATTCTAAGAAAAGTATAACCTTCCAAAACTGAACCAGGAAGAAACAGAAAATCTTAACAGACCCATCACAAGCACAGAAATCGAAACTGTAACCAAAAATCTTCCAACAAACAAAAGCCCAGGACCAGATGGCTTCACAGGTGAATTCTACCAAAAATTTAGAGAAGAGCTAACACCTATCCTACTCAAATTCTTCCAGAAAATTGCAGAGGAAGGTAAACTGCCAAACTCATTCTATGAGGCCAACATTACCCTAATACCAAAACCAGACAAAGATGCAACAAAAAAAGAAAACTACAAGCCAATATCACTGATCAACATAGATGCAAAAATTCTCATCAAAATTCTAGCCAACAGAATCCAACAATGTATTAAAAAGATCATACATCATGACCAAATGGACTTTATCCCAGGGATGTGAGGATTCTTCAATATTTGCAAATCAATGTGATACACCATATTAATAAATTGAAAGATAAAAACCATATGGTTATCTCAATAGATGCAGAGAAAACCTTTGACAGAATTCAACACCCAACCTCCAAAAAAACAGGCATAAAAGGAACATACCTCAACATAATAAAAGCCATATATGACAAACCCACAGCAAACATTATCCTCAGTGGAGAAAAACTGAAAGTATTTCCTCTAAAATCAGGAACAAGACAAGGGTGCCCACTCTCACCAATACTATTCAACATAGTTTTGGAAGTTTTAGCCACAGCAGTCAGAGAAGAAAAAGAAATAAAAGGAATCCAGATTCAAAAAGAAGTAAAACTCTCACTGTGTGCAGATGACATGATCCTCTACATAGAAAACCTTAAAGACACCAGCAGAAAATGACTAGAGCTAATCAATGAATATAGTAAAGTTGCAGGATATAAAATCCCTTGCATTCCTATACACTAACAATGAGAAAACAGAAAGAGAAGTTAAGGAAACAGTCTCATTCACCATTGCAACAAAAACAATAAAATGCTTAGGAATAAATCTACCTAGAGAAACAAAAGACCAAACTATAAAACACTGATGGAAGAAATCAAAGATGACACAAATAGATGGAGACATATACCAAGTGCGTGGGTTGGAAGAATCAATATAGTGAAAATGAGTACACTACCCAAAGCAATCTATAGATTCAATGCAATCCCTATCAAGCTACCAACGGTATTTTTCACAGAACTAGAACGAATAATTTCACAATTTGTATGGAAACACAAAAAAACTCAAAGAGCCAAAGCTATCTTGAGAGA